ATTAAAAGAAACTATACTAAAGTAATAAAATAATCAACCTAAATAAAATAATAAACTAAAATAAAAAATATTAAAGCAAGCAAAAGTAAAGATAAAAAAATATTAAAACAAACTCAACTAAACTAATAAAGTAAAATAATAAAGTAAAATAATAAACTAGACTAAAAAATATTAAAAGAAACTGTACTAAACTAATAAAATAATAAACCTAAATAAAATAATAAACTAAACTAAAAAATATTAAAACAAATAAAACTAAACTAAGAAAATAATGAACTAAACTAAAATAAGATAAAAAAAATATTAAAACAAGCTCAACTCAACTAAAATAATAAACTAAAGATAATAAACTAAAATAAAATAAGAAACTAAACTAAAAAATATTAAAAGAAACTATACTATACTAATAAAATAATAAACCTAAATAAAACAATAAACTAAACTAAAAAATATTAAAACAAACAAAACTAACAAAATAATGAACTAAACTAAAAGAATAAGATAAAAAAATATATTAAAACAAACGAAACGAATAAAATAAACTAAAATAAACATTCAAACTAAACTAAACCAATAATAAACTAAACCAAAATAATCAACTGGACCGAACGAAACGAAACCCCGAACCCAAAGGGGTTTCCCTTGGGTCCTCCTCCCCCTGCCCGCCCCTCCCCGGGGGGGGGGCTTTGTCCGCTCTCCTTACCCGCAGGAAAGAATCGAGGGCGCCGTTCTCCATGAACTCGGTGATGATCATTACGGGGACGCTGCTGGTGATGACCCCGTCCAGGCGGATGATGTTGGGGTGCTCAAACTGGCCCATGATGCTGGCCTCGCTCAGGAATTCCCGCCGCTGCTTCTCCGTGTAGCCTCCTTTCAGGGTCTTGATGGCCACGCAACTCTCCTTCTTGCCCGGCACTTTCAGGAGACCGCGGCAGACCTCCCCGAATTCACCTGCCAGAGATAGAGAATATTTCTTTTTTTAAAAAAAAAAAAGAAAAATTGGGAACACTTGGTATCCGTGGTTTAGACGGTAAAGTACAAATAAAAAGGAATTTAAAAAGGAAAAAACAAAACAAGGGAAATGAAACTGGAATACGAGACGTCAGACGGAACGAGGGAGAAGTAGTAGAAACGGAGGAAAAGAAGAGCTAGATAGACATCCCGATTCGGATGTATAACTATTTAGGTTTATTGCAGAAATGTGCAGAGATATGCGGCGTGACTCCTGTTTTGCCCTTTCGGTTTCCAAACGGCCCTCCGCTCTCTCACACATTGACAGGATGCTAGCCGGACGAATACGGATGGATGCTGGGAGACAGAGGCAGAATTGGGGTTTTTCCTCAGTTTCCTACCCCCCCAAAATTAAGCCCCACGCCATCGTTTCGTAGCGAAGCCCCGGGGATCCAGCTAGTATCCGATAAGGCTATTCTTTGAGGAATTTACCTGCCTCAGAGTTTTGCTTTCTATGGGTCTATTACTTGGGACGCATTTCACGGCCCGGCGAGGGACATTCTGGTTCCGATTTGGGTCGGACGTTGAGGACTAGCTGCCTGCGATCGAAGCAGCGCTTCGCGGGCGTCGCGACGCCCATCAACACCGAGTTGCGGATGCCCTCTGGACGTTTTTTGCACCGCTCGCCGGTTCCCGTAAGCGATCCCCCACAACCCCAAAAGGACCCCCCCCACAAATTGCAAACAACTCGTTTTCCCTGGACGGAGAGGACTCCGCCCTTTCTCGCAGCCCCACCGAAAGGAATTGTGGGGGACGGGGAGGGGGCAGAGGGATGGCCCCTATTCCTACCTGCCCCGATGACTTCCTCGATCTTCACGTAGGAGACGTCGATCTCCTTGGCAAATTCGCGCACGGCCTCGTTGGGGTCCTCGTAGGTGAAAGGGTCGATGTAGACTTTGGTACCTGTCCAGAGATGGGGCAGGCGGGCAGCGGTTAAGGGGGCTCCCTACCCCCCTCAACGGACCCTAACCAGTTTTGACGTTCTTAGTGGTAGAGGCGGTTTTCAATTTGCAACCGTTCGTTTAGTAACCGTTCGAAGTGACGATGTCAGAACATAGTTGTATATCCTGAATACATAAAATCATGGTTTCAAAGCTTCTCCTCTAATACATAAACAGGATGAAGGATCTATTGATTAAAGAATCCAATAGTAGAGTAATATGTGTTACTTCTTAATGAATATGTTATCTATTAAGAGACAAGGAGTACTTGCCAGTTACTATTGATCATTGTTTACGACGAACTATCAAACCTATTGTCCAATGGAATAGAGAGAAATGTGTTCACTGCCCTATTCGTATGTTTACTATTTTTTTAATATCGGGATACTCGTAGGTTTATCTCTTTTTTAATCTTTTACAAATAACTCAAAAAAAAACCCCAAAAACTCAAAATAGACTACGAAATGGAAGCACAAAACCATTTGTAAACCAACCGGCACGCTGTATGGCACACCTACGGAAGATAACTTGATGTTTTTAAGTTTGGTTTGTTTATGTTTGTTTTTAAAAACCAATAAAAAAATTTAAAAAAACCCAACAACCTCAAAATAAATCAATAAATAAATGCTGGGAATTCGAACCGGCCGAAACCGATCCGATCGACCGTTTCTGATCGACGAATTCGGCGTCTGAGCCACCGAAACCGCCGCGTGGGTCCCTTTTTTCGTTGGACAAAGGAATCGATGTCCGACTTGTCGTCTACCTCCCCGCCAGCCGCCCCCCCCTTCCCACCATCCCACAGACCCCTCTCTCCACCACCCCCCTTGGAGACCCTCCCCCCACCCACCCCAAAAAACCACATCTCTTGCTATGCTCACCGTGCCCGATCAGGTATTGTCCGGGCTTGTCCGAATACTCTTGCTCTCGCGATGCTGACGATCCCTGGCGCCTGTCGGAGAAGGTACAAAGTTGTCGTCCGAGCCGCTTGCTCGCCCGAAGCCCCTCCCATTAGCCACTGAGCTCCTCCCACTCCTGTTAGACCCTCCCACAGCCCCCCTCCTGCTCCCCCGTTGCCTAAATTCAACAATCCCCCTGCTGGCCAATCCTGAACTCCCTTCTTCCCACAGCCTCCTCTTCCTCTTCCCTCATTGGCGGAAGGCTACCTTCGATGCCGGGACTCCCATGGTTGGCCCCTCCCTCCCAGGTGCTCCTGGCCCCTCCCACTCCTCCCTTCAGCAAGCAGCGCCTTACCGGAGGCAGACCACAGCTACGATCCCCACGGCCAAGACGAGCAAGGTCCCCAAGGCGGCCGTACCCACGATGAGGGCCAACTTCTCCGTGCCGTTCCCCGAATCTGCCGGGAAAGGGATGTGGCAAAGGGGTCAGAACCAGGAAGGAACGAGGGGAAGGGAGCAAACGGGGTTCCGGATGAAGAGTTGGACTGGAGAACAGGGAAAGAAGAGTGTGGACAATGAGGGAGGGGAGGAGGAGGAGGAGGAGGAAGAGGAGGAAGAAAAGGACTGTGGGGTCCTTGGTGCTCTCTGAAC